GGAACTAAATAAATTTTTACTTGCTTGTTGATTGAAAACATAAATGATAAGCAGCAATGAGACATGTATCTCTCAACACGCAATTTTCTTTAGTTAATCTTGATACTAACAAGACGCTAAACTTGCTAATCTCAATTTGGTAAAGCATATGACACGTTTAAATAAGCAGCCCTATATATTACAGTACAATTGGAGACTTCCATATTTGCTGATTGAGGCAGAAAACATAAAAAATAGATGGATTACTGATTTCTTATGAAGGCCATTTTGATAAGCATTTTGGGAGCTTTCCTAAACTCTGAAGCGTGTTTCTTACCTGCAGTATTTGGAAAATTCAAAATGGCATGAGTGTTCACAAACTTCTTTTCATTCATTAACCCAAAGACAGTTGCTTATCTCCAAGAAGAAAATGAAAAATTGAAGACCAGGCTCAAGACCATAGAAACACAGGTAAATTGGATACTTAATTCAGTTTACATATTTAAAATTATCTAAATGAGAAACCCATGGTTATTATTCTTATGTTTTCAATTAAAATACGTTTCTGAGGTTTTACATTTTCAATATATCACAGGCTACAGCTGCACTCGATGAGAAAACCAAGCTAGAGAAGTTACTGAAGGATTTACAGATGATCCAAGGAGATCAAAAGGTAAATATAATTAAGATTTCCCCCACTACCACCCCTGTTCAACACAACTGTTGCCTGTATGTCTAAGAAGTTGGTCTGTATGGTATGTTTCTTTTCTGGCAAATACAAAGTTCAATTTAGTCTTGCAGTGCGCCTCCGGAATTTGTCTGTTCCTGCTGGTCTGTCAGTCAGCAGATAATCCAGAATGTTAGCTGACGTTATGACATGTATTTTGTGTCCCATAGACCATGATAAATTATTATCAGAAAGCATTATTCCAGTTACTATCAGGAAGTAGTATTGCAGAGTTCCTGTTCTTAGGGGTGATACTTGTATTAACAGATAAAATGTATTTCTGTTTGTTTCTTGCAATTTTACTAATGAACGAATGATATCTAACCTGGTTTTGATAGCAACAGTAGAACACTAATTCTTTCAAGCATTTGTCACACTCGATATCGACATGGACAAGACAGACTTGTGGCTTCTCACTTGAGACTTTAACAACCTGAATACTTACATGGAAGTATCCAGTGTCCTATATTCTTAAGCATCAATTGAAGCTTTGCTGCAGATGGGTCAGATGGCAAATGTTTGATTTTTTACATAGTTCTATCCATATCAGTGTACAGTCAAAAAGGCTTCACCTTTATTTTTACTACTCGAGGTTATTGGTTTTTGTAAATGAGGGTTCAAACATGGTAAGTTCTGCTGCAGGGAAAAAGCCCAAAACATAAGCTAGAAGACTGCAGGTTGACACAGATAAATCTGTTCAGGACACCTTAGTACTGTTTTAAGTTTGTACCTTTATTTTGTCAATAATTAGAATTTTCTAATTAGAAGTTTGTTCATGTGTGGTTTTTTTCTTAAATTTAAAGCATTTAAGTTCAAACTGTTTGCAAAATTAGAACATTTTAATCCAATTATTTTGAGAAAATGACTTTTTAAAATTCCCACAGTATTTACAGATTTGGAAGTGAAGTTCAGTATCATAAAACATTTCCACTTCAATTTTCATATTTTAATCCCAATTTCTTTTTATTTTGCTTTCTAACTGGTTTATGGTATGTACTTGGCTTTCTTAATATGTTTCAATTTTATGTAGTAACTTTCAAAATCTGTATTCAGTAATACTGTTTACTAGGAAACTTGATTTATAAGTCATGGAAAATATTTTCTTTATCTGTTTTGTTGAGCCTTAAATTATTACAGGTTTAAAATATTAAAGGGGTTTATTAAATCCGGGACAGTAATGATTGTAGTTTTAAAAGAGAAAAATCTCATCCTACTTTGTGGTTAAACATTAATTGGCCTCAATGTCCGGGCTGTTGAGTATCTTTAGCTTTCATGTCCTAATTTGCGGTCTCTAATCTGTCACTTTCTTCTTCAGCTCTTACATTTTCTGTGTACAGGCATATATATATTGTTGAAATTAGCTAGTAGATACAGTGCTGAAATGTACAACTTTAATCAATTAAATTACTAGTTGCTTGGAGAAAGTGCTGAATTTTAGCTTGGACTCTCAAAATTCAAAGTAAGCTTTTCTTCTGTAAAGGTGCTGTTATCAAATGGTTTCTTATGCTCAAATCTTGTCTTCCACACAGAAGGAGCAGAGTTTGCTCAGTTTTAGATTTTTGTTCCTTTTAAGGTGCTACTGGTTCAGCCTTCTCCTTAGTCATGACACTTTTGGGAGTTTGAAGCTGAGCTTTTAAATCTGAGAGGGGTTTTGTTGTTTGTTTTTTAATGGAAATCCGTAGAACAGTTACATGAATATAATGTTTTGTGACCCAGAACTGATGGCCAGAAGAGCATGGTTTGTTTCTTCTCACAAGGAAACAGGAAAGTTGCTTCACTAGCAACTGTGGAGGCTCTTTTTGTAATGCATGTGAGAATAGTGCAATATTGGTATCCGATTGATAGTACAAGCCTGAATACTTTAATCCTTTCCTACCTCTACTACACTAATGGCTTTTGAAATGCCTGTGATACTTTACCTGCTTTAAACACATTATAGCATAGACATTCAGATCTGAAACTGTAATTTACCATTTCAGTAGGCTAAATAACTTCTCGTGATATGCTTCATTCTGTGGCTTCATCTAATTCCTAAAGAAGTGAAGTATAAGAACTTGAAATCTCAATTTGGCAGAGAAGACGTTCCGGCCATCTCTAAAATGCATCGATTAACAATTTTTTTAAGTTATAAATTAGTAAGTGCTTTAACTAATTCTCTTTATTTTAGTTAAAGCTCTTCTAATTTGAACGTTACAGGAGTACCTTGACTATAATAATTAAAAATTTATATGTACACACTTTATGTGGAATTTTGCACTTGACATTTTAAATATTTCTTCTCTTGCATTTGACACGATTTAAATATTTCTTCTGTTGAAGACTAATGCAAACCAGGATATCACTGAACTGGAGAATAAAGTAGCAGCTTTGAAATGCCAGTTTGAGAAGACCTTGAATGACTCTACTGCAAACCAAAAATTTTTGGAAGAGGACTTGGTGACAACAAAACATGACTTGCTTAAGGTTCGGGATCAGCTATCCATAGCTGAAAAGGTTAGCATGTTGTAATGTAAAGATGAGATCCTTACTCACATTTTAACTAATTAGTAGTTTAACAAGCATACACTACAGGATGCAGTTTACTGGGTCACACTTGTGCCTGTGTATTTTTGTTATTTCAGTGGAAAAACACATTATAAAATATCAAAACCACAACTAACTGCATGATTGTAACTAGATGAATCATAGAATGGTTTGCGTTGGAAGGGACCTGAAGATCACATAGTTTCAACCCCCTGACACGGGCAGGGACAACTCACACTAGACCAGGTTGCTCCAAGCCCCATCCAACCTTGCCTTGAGCACTGCCAGGGATGGGGCAGCCACAGCTTCTTTGGGCAGCCTGTTCTTAAAGGGATACTTAACAATTTCCCCTTTTTCTGCTAAGAAATTTTTGAATGTAAAGTGTAGTCCCAGTCTTCAGAAGACTTTTGGTCTGATTTAATTAGAAAATAAAGATTCTGTTTCTGTGTCTCTCCCAGTAATCTCATTTGAATCTCAGAGCTGACTTCATCTAAATCTGAATGAATTAGAGAAACTGCTGGCTTGAAACTTGAGGAGGAAAAGGAAGTAATTTTTTAAAAAAGCATATTAGCCTGGTTTTCAGAATATGTAAATAATATATTGATGTTATTATGTAGGAACTGGAGAAGAAATTTCAGCAAACAGCTGCCTATCGCAACATGAAAGAGATTCTCACTAAGAAGAATGAACAGATAAAGGATCTACGTAAAAAGCTTTCCAAGTAAGTGGTGCTGTTCTGTCTGTCCTAACAGGATCCTGGTTCTGGATCCATGTTCTGCTCCCAGTTTGTTTTCATAAATGTGAAGCTGTCTTTAAAACAGACTGTAAATTTTCCCTTAAAAATAATTTCTAGTAGGCTATTCCCTGATTTTTGGCAAGCCAATCCTTTTAATGCGTGTTGGGTCAACAGGACTGATGTGTGCAACAGCAGCTACAGTGTAGCAAATAACCAGAGAATTTAGTATGGAGAGGATGCAAAATTCTCATGGGTGTGGTAGATAAGCCCCCAGCTGCTACACACAGAGATATAGATGGGAGATGTACCAGATGCTTTGGCATTCTCTTATTTCTTCCACATTTGTTCATGGGAATGAGAAGTCTGCAGTAGGTAAATGAGCAAACCTCTATTGAGTAAAGAAAAATGCAGCCTGGCTGTTACATTGTGTAGAAGATTTTCATTCTGCAAATGGCAAGTGAACTTTGGCAACAGGGATACTTAGACCTACGCTGTAGGAGGACAGAGGTGGAACTTAAAACTTCTGTTTAAATTTCTGCTTGTAGTTTGGGACTTATGGAGAGGTTCCTGGTCATTCCCTCATTCTGCTGCTTGGTAGACTGGCCAGTTCTAAAAGGAGAAAGTAGACTAAAAAGTATATACAATTATCTGCCCTAAATCATACAGTGAACCTTGACAGGAATGTATTACTAGTGGGAGTAGTTTATTACTTGGGTTTAATATTTTCTTCAGAGACAAAATGTCTCTTGGGTGTTTTCTACTGCTTTAATGATTTTTATATTTTTTTCTTTTTAATCTTCAGATATGAGCCAGATGACTAAAACACCAAAAACATCTGATCTATCAGAAGCTGCCACAGAAAGAAAAAGTAGACTGGTATTACTTTTCAGTTATTTTTGGGTCGAATGGTATATTTTTTGCTTCTAGTGCTTAAAATAACTTTTTATTAATACTTAATAACACACTGAAACTCCTACCTTACTTCCTTGTAAACCTACAATTTATAGGTTTCTATAACATTAGTTTCTCTAGTCATGTTGTTCACCATCAACATTCCTTGAGAAATAGCAAAGAGGAGCTTATTGAAGAACTGAGATCATTCCCTACAAAGAAAGTTTATTTTTGTTAAGAAAAGGAGAAAAAAGGCAAAAAAAAAAAAAAAAAAAAAAAAGAAAGACATTATGGTTTCTTGATGTCTCTGAGGTAGAAACTCCAGTTACTTTTCTATAGTTAATGTAGCCATGAAGTGGTATTATCTGAAAATTCGAACAGTGGAAGTAAAAAATAGGAGGAAAAAAATGAAACAGGCTGATGGTCAGTAACATTTTGCTAGAGGGTGTTCATTAGATAGTGAGGTAAATATGCTTTATTAACCTCACTGGGCCCTTTCAAATAGAGATGCTAACTGAAGTTAGGCTTTTTCACTTGAATTTATTTGAAACAAATATGAACATCAGAAGACAGGTTTTGATTTTGCCAGTATTCTTAATGTTAAGATGATAATCTGAAAACACGTAGGAAGATTGCTAATGGAGCAACTTTCTTGGGAAATAAGTTATTTTAGATGTCTTCATCTCCTTTCTTAATGTAACCTCACCAGAAAACAGCTTACTTCTCTCAAGTCTTTTACTTGTAATCCTCTGCCTTGCATTTATTTGGCAACCTCTTAGTAGTGCATTCTACTTGTTCATCTGTCCTTGTTCATGTATATGTTGTATTTTATTCCAAATAAAACATTTGATCCTTAAGGAGCTGTTTTTTGTCTGTTCATATATATGTTGTATTTTATTCCAAATAAAAACATTGTTTTCAAACATTTGATCCTTAAGGAGCTGTTTTTTGTAGGAATGTTTTGTATAGTTTTCTTTGTAATATCTGTGGAAGGGAGTGGCAGCTCAGTGAAGTATCTTGCTAGAAATGTGAACATGCAAAGTACAGATGCGTGCACAAAGCCACACCACATCAAACAGCTGTAAAAAAGTGTACCAGTGGCAGGGCTGGGAAAAGGGTGCTGTAGATGTGTGCATTTAACTGTGCTTGTCTCAGGAGCTACTTGAACTGAAATGGATCGTTTTTCCTCAAATGGGCAAAGCTGTTAAAATTGTTCAAGCAGTGATGCCCCACTCTAACCTGCCATACACTTGCAGCCTGTAATTTCTTGTGTTGTCCTTCTTCCCCCACTGGTCAAGCAAGATTGGTTTGGGATAAAGTCCTGTGTGCAGCATGGTATGTTGCTGTAGCACGATAGTAGGGCTTTATGGGGTGATACTCCTGCGGTGTCAGTTAAATTCATGAAAGGTATTATTTTGCCCTTTGTACAGTCACTAAAACGTTAAGTTCTCAGCAGGTATGTAGCAAAGAGTTTTCTGGCCTGTATGTGTTCAGAGCAGTTGTGTTGACACCAACAAGAGAACTTGTCTCAATGAATGTTGTGGTTTTCTTCATAATAAAAGTAATTTTAATGAGATCAATTACTTTTTCTAAAATGGCAGGTAAAGGATGAAGAAAGGCAGAGAACCTCATGACTTCTGCTGGTCTTCTCTTTTCTGATAAATGTTTGGCTGTTGACTTATCTAAAATATTGGCCTTGTGATAGGCCTTCATTATCGGCTTAGGAACCATTTCAGTGTGCAGAACTGAAGCGCTGGCCTTGATTACCTGTTTCATTGCCAGTCTAGCAGTGTGATGCTCTCATTGGTTTGTGCTGCACAATGGCTAAGTAAAGGTGTTGTGTGGAGCTCTTGGTGGAAACCAGATCATCTGTCAAAGAGGATATACCTGGTAAGGCCTGGAGTATTATACAGTAACAATTCTCTTCTCGTTGAGCTAGGTACAGTATTTTGAAGATGGAGGTGACATCTGAACCTCTCCTAACAGTGTCTGATGTTTCTAAAACTTCACTTCTTTGCCTGAGGTGTCAATTCCAATACTACTTTTACCACCCTTTGTTCTTTGGAAGGTCATTATACTCTCAAATAAACATCACCAATTGCTTCCCCTTAGCTGTTAATTCCCTAGTTATGCCTGAAAGGAACATTTAAAAAGAACATTTCTCTATAACTGGCTGATGGGCAAGATTCAAATCTCTTTCAAACTGGGTGTGTGTGTGTGTGTGTGTGTGTGGCGGGGGAGTGGTTAGGGTTTTTTGCTTGCAGTCTGAGGAATATTTTCTCTGGGAATGAAATCCAGGCCACTTAGCTTCTCTGGTATTGACTCTGACAGCTAATAACCAACCCTGTGCTCTAACTGTGACTGGAGTTCAGCGGTTGTTCGTTAATAAATGAGCCAGCAGTGCTGCATGCTACTGTCTTAATGAGACAGTAAATTACCCGATGTTCTTTACTGTTCATAAACTACTCCTTAATCTGTTTTTCTTCTTTTCTAATGTGTTTTTCTCTTTCAGCTTTTCTCTTAACCATGTTTTTTAAATGTCCGGAGATGAATGCTAATATATGTTAACACTTAAACTGCAAGCGCTCCTCTTTATTTGATAGACTGATGTAAGGACATCTGCAGTTTGGACATTTCCCCACATATCTTGCTTCTGGGAAAGCCACAGTCACCTGCCAGGCACTTAGATTTCAGTCCAGCCAGAATGTTCTTGAGATTCCTCAGTTTGATTTCCCTTTTCTGGTGTTATCAAGGATGGCTCTTGACTTGTGTGTGATACCAAATGCCGTCAGACCACATTGAAATGATTCTTAATGCCTCAGGAAGAAAACATGAATCACCTTGGGGTGTCAGGTGGCTGAATGGATCAAGCTTTAAAAAGTTTAATCTGTTGTAGGAGGATGTGCCTTTTAAAATGTATTAAAAGAACAATTTAATGTAATTTGAAGGTAAGTTTGTATGTGAACAGGTAAGAATTATCATCATTATTATGGTAAGTATTTCTAAATGGTTTTGAGCAGAGAATGTGCCCATTGGGGTTACCCTATGACTGTTAATTTTGACAATGTCCTAACGATTCCTGCCCTGCTCTGGTTGCCTCCAGGCTCTCCCTGAAGCCCCCTACAGTAGCCCTCCTTGTCCAAGTCTCCTCGCAGACATATCCTGAAGCATTAGGCAGCCTGTTTGAAGCCAGCTCTTCACCAAATGAAGGTGGGTAGATACTCGCCGTTCTGTTTCAGCGGTCTTAGCATCTAGAGGCGTTTATTATTATGTTTAGGAACGAGTAAATTATTATGTTTAGGAACGAGTTAATGTAACTCTGTCCGTTTTAAGTATTGGCGACACTGAGCGGTTGGTGCAGGACTGACAGGGCAGCTCACGACTGACAGCTGCTGGTGAACAGGAGAGCTGCCCGGAGACCTCCCCAAACCGCAGGCAAGCTGTAACAGAGCACGAACTGGCAGAAGACAGAAAGAACTGACTGAATAGGACGGGTATCACCTCTTTTACTTTAGTGAGGTGCTAGTGTGTGACTCTTCACACAGGTTGGATCTGCGGCCTGAGTGAATTGGGTGCGATTCTGTGCATCAGAGCTGTGTTGAGTTCACTTTCATGGAGGGAGTACTCTAACCACACCAGCAGAAGAGTGCTAGAGCTGTGGTGCTAAAGAAAAGCAAGGAACATAAGAAGAGGAACTCCTCTCAGGCATGCCTTTCTTGGGAAGCTGAGGTAATGCAAAACAGTTTTAAGCTAGTTAAGAGGCTGGATATGACTTCAGGATACATGCCTTAAGGGCATCGTGCAGTTTGGAAGTAAGAAGCAAGTAGCAGTGATGAGCTGGAAGGAGTAATTGCAGTCCTCATAACTGCTTAGAGGAGTAACTGTAATTGCTAATTACACAGAACAATCGCCCACGGTTGTCATGGCCAGTGAGTTGTCAAAGATCTGGAAATTCAACTGGATTGTTTCTTTCTCCTCAAGGAAGGAAAAGTGGAGGTTAGAATAGCAACTGTGAACAGTGAATCCAAACAGAAAAACCATATGTGAGAGCTTCTAATCTGCTTCTCTTGATAACATCACTAAACATTTGCATAGGCTGCAGAGACTCCTTCATCACTTCCCTTTGATAATCATCTAATACACTAACAGCCAGCATGTTTCCATTTGGAAATGAGTGCCTCCAGGAATGGCAGATACTAAATACCAGAGCTGGCACCCCATAGTAGTTTGTGACCACAGCTGCTTGTGAGACTGATATTTGTGAGAGAGGAAGGATTCATTTCATTGCATCTGAACTTCCTGATCTGGCCTGACCCAAGCAGAGGACACCACCCCTCTCTTCCTGCACAGCCTCCCCGTCCATTAGTAACCTAGTTTGAAATGTAATGGGAAGGAGGTACAGAGCCAAGGAAATGTTTAACTTGATTATGCTCATCAGCAGCAGTAATCTATTCACACAGAAGCATCCACAGTGTGAGTGATGTGCTATTTTTTAAGGCTGTCCTGCCTGTGAGTTCCTAAATGCTCAAAGTTATTTATGAGCTTCATTTGTAATAAATCCCACAAGCAGTGATGGGCGTTTAACTTCTTAATGATTTGCAGTAGTGTTCATGGTGTGGGACAGATAACACATCTGTAGCTTTTCAGTGAGTGTCCTTCAGTTTAACAGCTTATGGGTCTAAAATTACCTTGGATTTTTCCTTCCAGAAGAATTTGGGGTTACCCATGAGACATTTCCAGCTAGCCTTTAGCTGGTATGTTGCAATTCTGCAGGCAAGGCAAGAACTGCTAGGATGTTGTCACAGGCTCCCTCAAAACAGCACTCTGGAAGGGTTTGGCAAACCCTGATGTTTTCATCCATTTCTAGCAGTGTTAAAACACACAGTGAAGAATGGATTCACTTATGGAGAACAGATTTACTTATGGGAGATGCATAAACCTCCCACAGTCCCTTTTCCTTACAAGCAAAAAGGAGGCATCCCACGTTGTGACTGTGGTCAGCCACCAGAGGGGTTCTGCTGGTCTCAACAACCTGCACGACATCCTCAGCAGCTTGGGCTCATGTCCAGAGGCCTCACAGCAGGGATTTGCACCTGCAGCCGGCTGCCTCAGCTCTGCCAGTGTCTGTGGGATGCTGGAGCAACACACGTGGAGCAAGTTCCTGGTGCTGGAGGAGTG